TGGTGGTGGTGGTAAACGTGAAATGTACATCCACGTGATTTAAACAGTTGCAGATGAGCGTAGTGCAGATTCACGCATCTTGCAATCGGTACTTTCTCTTTGTGCTTACACAATGATGCTTTCAATGTTTATAAAATAAATTAAACCTCCTACCTAACTTCGAATTGTAGCCAGACTATAGGGGCATTGGTTATCAGCTGAAATACAGGAGGCAAACCGGTACTAAAACATCCTTCGCAAAAGACCATGTTATTCCGGTCTTAATTTGCACGGCACTGATTTAGCAACGGGTTGCCAACGACGGATTTGGAATTATCTCCATGATGTTCGGTTCAACGGAGTTTCGCATAATGATTTCACCGCTGTCGGATTGGAGGAGATCACAAAAAGTCGATTACGGTGATTTTGCACCGATTTTCTGCAATGGGCTAATCTTAACTCAAAGCGGACAATTGGTGTGTAGTGAAATCCAATGAGAATAGTTGATCGATTACTTATTAATGATTTCACATTTATTTATTCAAATATCCAAAAAAAATAGAAGGGAAGGTTTTCGCATTCGATAGACAATTCGATGGGCTGTTCAAACATCATGTGTCGAAGTGAATCCAACCAAAAATTTTATCTTATTCATCTAATATCAAGATTTCATCACTATCACGTCATTATGTGATGAAGGCGATCTAGTTGTTCCCCAAGAATTGTAACATGGTTGTTTGTAATCGTTGGGCTGGAAAAAAGGCTGAGAGAAAAGGTGAACCAAGATAGCAGAATATAATCTTAATTTATTCAGTTGAAAATCATTTAAATCATCATGATACGATTATTGCATTGGACGTGTGAATTTTCAGATATTACTCTTGCTCTCGATGATTCCAAGTAATAATCCGTCTATCTAGCGATGGCATCATTTAGAATGGTGTTGTTTTTAATCACACGCTAAATTTGATCAGTTTTGAAAACCCTGAGTTTCTTGTTGAATCGAGCAAGCTAATCGACCCTTGGAATAATAAGATACCTTTTTTTCGTGGCTAAAAATGCTTTTCTGTTATTGGGCACCGGTTTTGCCTCGGAGATGTCGTACAGTTTTCCGTGTTCATCGTCCGACACGTTGGTACAGCGTTTGCACATGAATCTATATGGTTTATCGGATTCGCTGAATCATGCACAATCTCAAGGTCATTGAATATTCATCCTCATGATTTCATTCGGTGCGGAACACGGTTATGAGAATTCCCATAAAATCCAAGAACAATCATTTTTTTCCAAATTTGGGCAAGTTTAATGTACAAGCCGACACGGTTTTAGGTAAACAGCTGCGGGTGCGAATAGCATTATCAACTTAGAGAACAATATACTTTGGATTTCCACTTCCTATTTGGTGCTGAGAATTTTGTTTAAATGGTCTATACTTCATCACATAAAATCACTGACCGCTTAGAACGCTTGTGAGTCGTTTTTTATTTTCCGCTACTAATCATTACGTCTGTGAACTGATGCCCTATTGCGGGTGGTGGTCCAGAGGTTACGTTCCGTTTTGTTCCGTATAGTTATTCGTTTTTGTCTCGAAACGACTGCGAATTAAAGAACCTTTTCCTCTAACAACGGGCACTTTAAACACGGTTTGACGCGCACTGATAGGTTGCATGCAATGGAACCGTACTAATTTCTATCCCGTGTTTAAAATTGGCCTTTAACTGAAAGGATCGGGTTGTATTTTTCCGTCGGGATTGTGGAAAAACAAACGCATTCCGGTTCTTTTCTTATCACCCACCTCTGTTTCTGATGATGTAATTTGTCCATATGGAAATCTCCCTTGGAAAGTGAATGAGCGGAGGCATACATACCCATATTTTTTTTGTCCGCGTCACCGCAATTGTTGTTCACATTGCTGAGTTTTTGTTTCCCGCTAGAGGGGAATCGATGATCACCGAATTCGTGTTTGAGAAATGAACGGACACACACGTCACTTGGGTAGCGGTGTTTGCAATTCATCTGTAGACACGTTTCATATATACATATATATATATATCACAGTATTGCAAACAAGGTTATTGTGACGAAAATATACCTCCTGGGTACAATTATTTGAATGAACTGGCAAAAGACTCCCAGGTACACATGCCTGAAGAGAGGAAAGACCCGCAAAATCGGTCGTGTACTTCCAGCGAAAATTTTTCTAGCCATTTACATGCTAATTATTAGGAAATATATATTGCAAAAATCACTTATAATTCTCTGTGCTAGGTATTCTTTTCCAAAAGATTGTCTCGATATGCAACGCCCTTGGTAACTCATTATTGGCTGTGAATTTGAGCCATATTCAAATCACACTGGAACTTTACGCTCTTGGTGTCTACTATCATGTTCCC